GTTTAAAAAACTGCTTCAGTCTGCATTCATAGGCCATCAGTTCTTTCTCTGGAAGTAGACAGCATTTTTCATCACAAGTCCTTTGGAATTGTCTTGGTGATTATATTGATTGGAATAGCTAAATCATTCACAGCTAATCATCTTGCTACGGCTGTGTACAATGTTCTTCTGGTTCTGCTCACTTCGCTTTGCATTAGTTCAAAGAAGTCTCCTCAGATTTTTCTAAAACTATCCTCCTCACCTTATAGCAAAGTAGGATTCTGTCACAATCATATACCATTTATTTATTTAGCCATTCCCCATGTGATGGACATCCCCTCAATTTCCAATTTTTTGCCACCACAAAAAGAGCTTCTATAAATATTTTTGTACATGTAGATCCTTTTCCTTTTTTTTTTTTTTTTAAATCTCTTTGGGGTATGGACCTAGTACTGGTGTTGCTGGGTCAGAGGGTATGCACAGTTTTATAACCCTTTGGGCATAGTTCCAAATTGCTCTCCAGAATGGAGAGCACCAACAATGCATTAGTGTCCCTATTTTTCCCCATCCCCATCAACAGTTGTCATATCCCTTTTCTGTCAATTAGGCAATATGACAGTTGTGAGGTGGTACCTCAGCATTGTTTTAATTTGCATTTCTCTAATCAAGAGAAATGTAGAGCATTTTTTCATATGACTATAGATTTGATTTTTTCTTCTGAAAACTGCCTGTTCATATCCTTTGATCACTGATCAATTGGAGAATGCCTTATATTCTTACAAATTCAGCAAAAAACAATTATTGAAAAAAATTTTAAAGTTTGTTTTTAAAAATAAATATATCCAGCTAAGCACAAAAATAGATTGGCTTACTTAAAAGCTTTCTGTTTCATGACACACAACTTTCAATAGATCTGTTTCTTTGTGGATTAGTATAGATGTTCAGTTCTTAACCTTTTTAGTGTCATAGGCCCCGTTAGCAAACTGTTGAAACCTGTGGACCCCTTCTCAGAATAATGTTTTTAAATTACTGAAGGCAATGCTACATTTTAGTTAGAGGTTAATGAAAATAAAGATGTAATTTTTTCCCATCCAAATTCATGGACCCCTTAAAATCTATCCGTGGACTCCCAGGTTAAGAACTCGTATTCCAGATAATCTTGCAAACTCATAAAATATTTTGGAATAGTAAATGCAATTTGCAAGGAAGCGGGGTCTTTTTACCTTTGTGTACTTTGCACATCTTGTTATTGATGTGTTTGATATTCATTCTGGGGGGCTGGTTTATTATAATTTTTTGCTATTTCCTACGTTGCCCCTGTGAGGTAAGTCCAGCCCTATGAAGTACAAAGGGCATTAGTGCCTTTGCCAGGGAGCAACTTATTCAGGGTGATGGTGGCAGATCTGGGATCAGAACTCAAATGTCTTGAGTGTTTCCCTTGTTGCTAGATCCACTGAGTCATACTGTTTCCTATTTTGATCCCAGATTGCAAAAGACCCAGAAAAAGAAACTGTTTAGAGTTGGCTAGAAGTCAAAAACATCTGATCTCTCACAGGAGAGCAAAGTATGAAAACTGATAAGGAGAATTTCAAGGCCTTTTCAGATTTTTATTGTTATGATTTGGAATGTAGAACAGAACTCTTTTTCCTCCAGGTAATCCAAGGTGTTTTACAAATCCTAAATTGCCTAAAGTGTATCAACCTTCATACCATATATCTCCCACGCAGGTAGGTAAAGTGGAATTATTAAATCTTTTCCTTCATTCAAGACTATTGGTGATAAAATAACTCGTAGATAATGCCTGGGGATTGGAATAGCTGTTAATTGAGCTTGTTAAGCAAAGAAGATGGTCCCTTATCAAGGTCCTTTTTCTCTTTGATGCTTGATGGGGGGGAAAAAGCACTGAAAAAAGGAAGAGAAGATAGGTTCAAAAATAAATAACATACAGTAACCTGATGCTGTGTAGTTACCAATATGAGTATGTCACATAAATCACAGAATTTGAGACTTGGAAGCAAGTTTAACAACTATCTATTCAACCCCTAAACTGTGAGCTTGGGCAAGTCAGGTAATCTCATGGAGCCTCAGTTAATTCATCTGGAAAATGGGGATAATTAGCAGCTCCCTTACAGAGTTGTGAGGATCAAATGAGATAATGTCTTTAAACTTTAAAGTCTTATGAACCTTAAAGCACTATATGAGCATACCTTGGACAAGTATCTGCTTATCAAAAGCTAATACTTTGCATGACAGAATCAGGATTCCAAATTATCCTCAATGCTAGAATAGTAAGCCAAAACCCAGAAGATGACATTTACATAATCATAAGATTGGGAACTTGTTTTGACAGTTTAATGAACAAAAGCCCTGGGATTTTTAGTTCACTGTGAGATAAGTTAATGTATTGTTAGTCTAAGTTAATATGTTTACGGTGTCTAGATCCAAGGAGCTAATATTCCGTTTGTCCTCTATAGTAGTCAGATTGTATATGAAGTAGTGGTTATCTCACATCTGAAGTAGTGTGCCCATTTTTGGTACTGTGCTTTGAGGGGCATTGATAGATTCTGCTACTTACTGGCTGTGTGACCTTATAAGCAAGTCACTTAACCTCTTTGGGCCCTTGTTATCTCATCTGTAATATGAGGGGGCCGTATTTGTGACCTGTAAACCCCCTTTCAGCCCTATATCTATGATCTTGTGCAGCTCAAGGAACAGCATTTGAAATCTAAAAATTAAAGCAGCAGCTGTTAATAGGTAGAGTGAGAAAAGTTGACTTTCAACACTCTAGGAGCATCTCTTCATCTAGAGATAGCTAGCTGGAATCCATGTTGTATTTGAAATGGTTTAAGGAAATGAAAATATTAAGTGCAACATGATGGCTGTCTTTAGACATTGAAAGAGCTGTCATAAGCCACAGAAAGTAAACTTTTTTTTTTTCTTCAAAGATCAATGGGTGAAAGTTCCAAGGACACAAATCTTGATGGAATAAGGAAGGGCTTTCTAATAGCTTATGGTAACAAATTCCTTATCATTGTAAGTTTTCAAGCCAGAGGTTTAAAATCTGTTTTGAATGGTTTAAAGTAGAGTTGTCAAACTGGTAGCCAGTGTTGCCAGAACCAGATTAAAATGTAATTGGGAAATATTTAACAAAATAAATAAAATTATACCAAAATATAGATAACATTAAATCTTAAAACTAAGTCAGCATACGGCCCATGGGGATCTTTATGTATAGTCCCCCACTGCCTTGTGTTTCTATTTGAGTTTGATAACACTGTTTAGAGGAGATCCCAGCATATAAGGGGAGGTTGAAGTAAATGGTCTCCTAAGGTCCCTGATAGCTCTGAGTCCTTGATCTACACTTAGCTGTTATACCATTACTTCAAACTCATATAGTTAAGATCAAACTAAATTTTTTTGAGGAAAGGTATCTTTCTTCTGAATTCCTGTTTTCTCCCAATGATATAGTAGTCCTACTCACTCAGACATACACACAAAAATGACCTTTTTATCCTTGGCTTTTCATTCTCAGTTCTCTACCTTCTCTCCCTATCCCTTTACCCCCTTTTCTGGTCAGGAGTAAAATCCTATCAATTTTTCATTTAGTATTTTCTCATTTTTCCCATTCTACTAAACCCTATTATGGATGCTTCATTGTAGTCCACAGGGGACCTTAACTGCTCAAAGGATGTGCCAGCAGGGTACAAGCTTTGGTGGGTTTTGTCATCTTGAAAAGGATTCAAGTATGGTTCCCAAAAGAGACTGAAGATACATTTTGAGGACCAGCCTAGCTAATAGGAAAAGCTCATCAGCCTCAGAAAAGCTCTTTGTCAGTAGGCTAGCTACTTGGTGATAAATTATTTGGCCATTGCAACCCATGAGAAAAAAGAAAATGTGTAAGTAGTGATTTGCATTTTTTAAATGAGTCCTCACATGTAAGGGAGATCTTAACAAACAGTGGCTGGCACATAATAGGTGCTTAGTAAATGTTTCTCTATTGTTTAATCCCAGATCCATTGAAGTAAATATCCTTTTTCATTCTTGCTGTAATCACTCTGGTTCAAGCCCCTATTAGTCTTTTGCTTTTTTGCTACCATAGCCTCTTAATTAGTCTTCCTCCCTAATTGGTCTTTTCATATTCCAGCCCATCACACACACTGCTCCCCAATTAGCCTCCCTATAACATTACTTTGATTCTGCCACTTCCCTGCTTAAAAACCTTAAATGTCTCTTTATTTGAGAAAAGATAAAAATCCTAACTCTTGACATTGCGGACTTCCCATAGTCTGGTTCCAGATGCTGTATATTTTGAGCCCTCCTTATCTCTCTGACAGGAGGCTTTCCCTCCAGTGTCTATACAAGCCTTGTACTTTCTTTCCTCCATGCCTCCAAAAATGAGCTTTTCCTTCCTTTCTGCTGATCTGAGTCCTACCCATCCTTCAATATGTAGATCATATCCTCCCTCCTTTATGAAGCCTTTCCTGACCTCTAGCCCACAAGAATCTCTCACTTCTCTGAACTCTTAAGATGTTCAATAAGATATACGTGACTGAAAGTTATCTTTCCTTGACAAATGTCAGGTCTTTGACAGCACAGGCCAAGTTTACACTGCTTTGTATCCCTAACAATACCTACCTAACACAGTGCCTGGTACACAGGAGTTGCTTGACAAATATTTGGTGATTGGGTAATGTGGAATTTTTCATTAGTCCCTCAGAGAATTTTTTCTCATGATCTTGAATTTCCCTCCTGTGACTTGTTTTTCTGTTGTTCTGTCATTTTTACCTCTTAAATGTACTTATCAATGCAGGTGGAATATGCCCTCTTGATAATGAGATAAAAGATGTTACCATAGCATCTGTACTTATATAATTCTCACCAACAAGATTGCTGATTATGCTAAGTGAGTTAAATGTGAAACAGTTCTGAATTTTTTACAACTCTAAGTCAGGTTTAAATACTTGATTAAATGCCATGAATTCATTGGGAGGAAAATAATCAGAAAAATTTCTCTTTTGCAGAGGCATCTTTTTTGAACTTCCATGATTCTTCGGATTGTGAGCCAAAAGGATCACCACCCTGTGACTCCTTGCTTTCCCTTAATGCTGAAAAGATTCTGGTATGTCTCTACTATCCATGCTTTCTGTTTCTTGTGGCCCAATTAAAGAGTGAAATTCTAGGTACTCTAAGTTAATTGTCTGTATGGATAGAATTTATGTATATCATAATCAGGAGTCATCTGAAATTGGATCTAGATTGAATCATTGGTTGTGAATTAGATAAGTATAGGTGGGAGGCTGAACATCCATGATTCTTAGGAGAGATGACCTTATAATTTAGAGGGAAAGCATAGCCTAATTTTCCCAGCCCTGATTTACTTAGATCTGTTCACTGTATATAGACTCAGTTGTGCAAGAGGGCTCTCTCTTCCACTCCAAGGTTGAATAGCAGTGCAATTTTTATAAGGTTCCCCTCACACATTGGAATGTATCCCATATCCTATACAAGGAAACGGTACTGAAACGACTTTCCAGATAATTATATATCCAGAATGTTTTTATTCACAATTCAGATTTCCAACTGGGCAAACTTAAACCTGTATGGATTTGATGTGATTCTTTTAAGATTCTTCTAAATGTGCCTACTATATTAGACAATCATTTTCCTGACTTTTAAAAAAGGTTTTGTGTCAGTGCCAGTATCATTAAAAATAACTGGACTTGACAAACTAGAAAATGATCAGCTATGCTAACCCACTTTATAGTTTTCATGTAATAACTATGAACACAACTCCATTTCAGTTGATTCAGGATAATAATCTTCAGGAGAGAGGATCAATCTCATTTATCTCTGTCATTCACTTTCTGTAAGTTAAAAGTTTGACTGTTCTTCCAATGATCATCGTAGTTCACATTTATATGTTGGCTTAATAGTTACAAAGTCTTTAGTGTCATTCCCCCCCCCAATAATATAACTAAAATAATTTTTTAATCTCCATTTTACATGAGGAAAGATTAGGCTTGAAGAGGATAAGTTACTTGCCTGGAGTCTTGCAAGCTCTAAGTGTCATAGCTGCTATTCTGACTGAGATCTCATCTTCCCAAGTCCAGTGGTCTTCAGTTATCATGTAGTGCTTCAATGTAATGCTCAATGACAATAATAAGTTCACATATAGCTTACAATCAGGGATTTTTTTGTGAACACTTAATATTGAAACTATAATAGTAAATGTTCTTGTTTTCCTTAATTTTCCTTCTCCTTCCCTCCTTTCTTTTTTTTTCTCTTTATCTTTCTTTCTTTCCTTTTTATCTACTTTATTTTACACTCCCACCACATCACCACAATGATGACTTCTTAATTTAAACTGAAAACTATTGGGGGTCTGGAAAGGTATGTGTCTTTGGGGATGGCGGAGGAAGGAGGGAAAATGGTGTCATCCATCTTAAGATGTTGAAGGGATGAAAAGGAGACATGTCAGTGGATAGTCTTGATAGGAGTCTTGAAGTTGCTGACTGCTTGAAGCTATAGTTGATAGGCCCTGGGCTAGATCTTGAAGGCTTACAGCCTGGGCACACATTGTTTGGCAGGCCACTTGCATTCAGGCTGCACCATGAAGAGCATGTGGAAAAAGTCAGTGCCAAAGTAAGCATCATCTGTGTGGCAGTACCTGGACAATTTGGATGTGTAAACATCCATGCACTTGGGACAGTAAAGCTTTGCCATCACCTCAGCAGTATTTCTGATAGTCCAGTGGGGAGCATGGGATGATTTTCACAGTATACAGGGGGACAGTCTCCCTACTGGTACTTTTCTAACATCTGAGCAATGCCATGCTTTATGAGCATGTAGCGGGCATGGATCAGTCCATACAGGATCTTGCCTGTCTGTTCAGTTAGGTCACTCTGGTTGGAGTTGTCCTTCAACCCCTCAACAGGTTCCAAATCAAGGATCATGTCTAGTGGCTGCTTGTAGTGAGATCGAACTTGTTCTGGATATAGTCTTCATCCACCACACAGAAGAATTCAGAATTCATTGCTGTGAGTACCACAGAGCCATGAGATGCATGATACATCAGTGAGCTCGGGCTGGAGAGAGAGGGGGAGAAGTTGTTCCCAGAGGTGGCAGTGGTAGCAGCCTTTGCCATCATTTTCAAAGTTCCTTAGGAACCCTTCCTTAACCAGATTTTCTATGATATCCCCCAATGAAATTATGTTGATTTGAACTGGGGGTTATTGGAGTTCAAAGAAAACAAATTCAAGACGGCTGTTCCAAAGCTAAGCCATGTTAGTAGATGAATAGCAATCGGAACCCGAATGGATGAATGTGGCTTGACTTAATATGAGGAAGCCAAAGTGATTTTGTGGCCATAAAGATGTTCCTTGTAGCCTATGAGCGTCTCGATGCTGTAAGACATGTGCCCGAAACTCGTGGAAGGGACCTTAGAGATTATGTAGTTAACTTGTCTCATTTTATGGAAGAGGAAACAGATTTAGAGAGGTAGTAACTTCCTCAAGATTACACAAGTGGTAAGAAATAGATGGGATTTGAGCCTAAGTTCTCTTTAAAAAAATTTATATTGATATTTCTTTCTTTCTTTTTTAACATTATCATAATTTCCCTTGGTATGTTTCCCTGCCCTTCTCTCCTAGAGGGCCATCCAATATAACAAATGAAGACAATTAAAAAAAAAAGAAATGAAAAGAGGAAAAAAATAAGCATAATTGATAAGTACATTGAAAAAGTTTGAAAATATGTGCAATGAATAACACTTGTTGACCTCCCACCTCTGCAGAGGGTTGGGGTGGGGGTATCTTCTCATGTCTCTTTTTTTGAACCATACTTGTTTATAGCTCTGCAACATTCACTTTTTTGTGTGATTCTTTCATTTACATTGACAGTCATTGTGTAAATTGTTTTCTTGGCTTTGCTTACTTCAGTCTGCACCAAATCACGTGGATCTTTCCATACTTCTCTGTAATCATCACATTCATCACTTCTCACAACACAGTAATATTCCCTTACATTCGTGTACCATAATTTGTTTAGCCCCAATCAATGGAGCCCAGGTTGTCTAACTCCAAATCCATTACTATTTCCATTACACTACAATTTGTTGTCATTTGCACCATGATCTTCTTGTAGATTTTGGGGTATGCAGTATAGTTTTTTAAGTTATATGATAGGGGTAGAAACCAAGATAGACAATTGTTTTATATTCATACCTTTAAGAGAACAGAGTTATTTAAAACATACAGTAAATCAGTTTATGTGTTCTCTTAAATTGTCAGTTAATATAAGAAGGCAACATTGTTGAAACATTTAAGTGCTTTATATATTGATTAATAGTGATATATATTTGTGGCATATTCCCATCAGCATTTCTTATTTCTATATGCATGAGATACTATATTCTTAGTGTAAGAGATAAGAAGGTGGTCTTCTGCATCATGATTTCTACCTAAGGTCATCTATTTAGAAATAGAAGGGACCTAGATCAGCTACATCAACCCTTTCATTTTACAGATACAGAAACTGAGGCCCAGGGACATTAAGTGACTTGCACAAGGTTATTTGATTAGTGTGTCACAGAACCGGGATTTGAACCTTAGTTCTTCCGGCTCCATGTTCATTAATTTGTTCATTCTTGACTTTGGACTTCTCTCACTGCTTGCTTTTGTTTTTCCTAACACAGCTAATTTCAACTGTCCAAATAGCCTGTTTAGTCATTTTTGATGTCACTTGGTGATTCTCTATGTTATATGTTGTTTTCTTCTAACATATACATGTGTGAATTCACCCAGATTTACATTTACTTCTTAAGCAGGAATATGTTCTGCATAGTATTTGTAAAGTATAAACTTTACACTTTACCCATTGCTGTTGGAACAGCTTTGACTCAAGGCTCTGCCTTTAGCTTCTGCCTTCTTCCTAACCAATCAGCAGGCACTTATTAAATACTTACCATGTGCCAGGCACTCCTCATTGTGGAGAACCTGGGCATACGGAGGAGACAGCCACAGCCTCCTTTTCTGTATCATGGTACAGAGGAAAGACTGCTGGATTTGGACTCGATTTTGGTGGTAAGCTCTGTCTCTAAGATCCAGACAGTGGCAAAAAAGGCCATAGCAGATGTGTTTAGACATATCAGCAACCTGCTTGGCATGAACATTTCAGGTTCTGTGTTTGTAACTGCTCCACAAAGAGGAAGGAAAAGTATTCTGGTCACACCCAGCTACACAGGACGTGACACATGCCTTAAATTTTCTTAAATCTGTTGAGTTTTAAGTATACTTAGATTTTAGTCAATCAACAAACATCTATTAAGGACCTACTATGTGCCAGGGGATTAAAAATGTGAAGAATAAAGTAATCCCTTCTCCTAAGGAGCTTACATTCTAATGGGTGAGAATATGTGTATAAGTGTGTACAGAATAAATATGAAGAGAATATACACAAAAACATTCAAAATAGTTAAATACAAGATTGTTTGCGAGGGAGGACATTCTCACTTGGGGGACCAGGAAAAGCTTCATGTAGAAGGTGGTTCTTGAGCTGTATCTTGAAGGAAGAGAGGGATTCTGTGGGGCACAGGTAAGGAGGGAATGCATTCCAGGTATGGGGATTGGCCAGTGCAAAGGCAGAGAGACAACAGATAGAGTGTTATGTGTGAAAATTAGGGAGTAGGCCAGTTTGGCTGAAGCCCAGAGTTTAGAAGGGAGAATAACATCCATGGAGGCTGCAGAGATAGGTTGGAGCCAGTTTATGAAGGGCCTTAAAAGCTAAACAGTGGAGTTTTTGTTTTATCCTAAAGGTAATAAGGAGCTCCTGGAGTTTCAGAATGTGTCCCGTCTCTAAGGCAGAAATAAAATGGAAATGATGTCACTTCTCTTTTAAATTACCAAAGTCTTTCTTGAAGAAGCAAAGCATGAACATTTCAGTGATAGAGGAAAGTGAGAGTAGATGCAGAGAGGGAAAGTCTTTGACCAATTTGAGTTCCTCATCCAAAAGATCTCTGTAATTTCATAGAGCAGTCCAAAATGGAGGTGCCGTGTGAAAATTTCTCCAGTGGATCCCTGTAGTATAAAGGCCAGTCTAGCACAGGGTTCCTGCAAAGTTGTC